CATCAATAGTGATGAGCCATGATGATAGTAGGTACTCCTGATATGATGGAACGAAAAATGGCACTTTACCTCTGTGATTTTCATCCTGAAAACCTAAAACACCAGTCTAATCATGAGAAAAAACACCAGACAAATCCCAATTGAGGGATATATTAGTCAGCTTGCACTGCCGTAACAAGATACCATAGACTGGGAGGCTAAAACAACAGAAATTTAGTTTCTCACAGTGCTAGAGGCTAGAAGTCTGGGATCAGGGTGCCAGCATGGTCAAGTCCTGGGCAGGCTCTCTTCCTGGTTTGCAGATGATGCCTCCTTTTTGTGTCTTCACATAGCAGAGAGAGAGAGAGAGCTTTGGTGTCTTCCTATTCCTATCGGAGTGCCAGCCCAAACATTAGAACTCCATCCTTATATCCTCAGTTCCTCACACACCCTTGCTCCAAATACAGTCATATTGAGGGTTAGGATTTCAACATATGAATTGTGGGTAGGCATAATTCAGTTCTTGGAAAGGGATACTCTATAATGTATGTGATCACTACTCCTCAAAAGTATTGAAGTTATCAAAGAAAAAAAAATAAGTCTGGGAAACTATTACAGTCAAAGAGGAGCCTAAGGAGACATGATGACAGAATGTAATCTGGTACTCTGGATGGCATCCTGGAATAGAAGAAAGGACATTAGGGAAAATTTTGAGAAATCTAAAATAAGTATGGATTTTAGTTAATAATAATAGATCGATACTGGTTCCTTAATTATGACAAATGCAACCTACTAATGTAATACTTTAGTAATAGGAAATACTAGATAGGGGCATATGGCAATTTCATACTATCTGTAATTTTCTGTGCATCTAAATCTGTTCTAATAAATAAGGCATATTATAAAGAAGCTATGTATTTTGACTAAAAAGAGAAAACATAATTACATTGAAATTTCAGAAGAACTCATAAACTATTTTAAGAGAATGAAAGGTGAAAGATCAGAAACACTGGAACACAGAGATTGGCATCACACTAATCACTAAATATAGCAGGGACAACTGGGAAATGGTATAGAAAAGAACTGAATGGGGGCACCTGGGTGGCTCAGTGGTTGAGCATCTGCCTTCGGCTCAGGTCATGATCCCAGGGTCCTGGGATCGAGTCCCACATCGGGTTCCTCACAGGGAGCCTGCTTCTCCCTCTACCTGCATCTCTGCCTCTCTCTCTGTATCTCTCATGAATAAATAAATAAAATCTTGAAAAAAAAGAACTGGATGACTGATAAATGTACCTCATATTGCAATAAAAAATTCCAGATTCATCAAAAAGGAAAGCACTGAAAGACTTAAAAAAAGACACTACACACTTATTCTAACTTTGTGTTTTTTACCTGACCTTGATATTTTACATCCATTTAGATTTTCCCTTTTTCTAATTTCATAATTCTAATTCTATTTTGACCTTATTATACAATGCACATTCCTTTGTAAATTTTTTCTACCACCTTTTGGTACAAGACAAGAAATTTATAATTAGAAAATAAATTCCTAACCACTGAAGAAACCCAAGGATTTTATTATGGATAAAATGGAAAGTTCTGATGTGGCCCTCCCATTTTTTTTCTGACTTATTCCAAGCTGTTTATTTGGACAAACCATACAATAGCCTATACAGAGGTAAGAACTAGTGACAGCACAATTCATTTCAGGCTAGCCCAAACTGCTTCCAATTTGATCGACCTCTGAACCCTCAACAACAGGACGACAAAATGATAGATAAAATTTGCAGCAAAATCTGTATGCTATGTATGAGGAAAAAACCAAGTAATTTAAAATAATATAGCAGTTATAAACATGCTGCACAAATTTATATGTGTGTCATACTAATACTAAAAGCCAATTCAAAATGGAGATGAGAAGATAGTATGTAGACTCACAAGAAAATAAAAAATAAGGGGAAAAATAAATCAGCCTGTGACAAAAATTGAGGGTATGGATTCTAAAACAGTGTTTGGGTTCCATTTTATACTTATTTAAATACCATTAATCAATAATTATAGCAAAACACAATGGCAGTTGGTGGGCTTGAGAAAGGCACAATTATGAAGAGCTACTAGCATTGTCAATTGCTTTCATCCTTTTGAGAGTAGCCTGGAAAAGTTGAAGGGGAAAAAAAGAAAAGGCTTTAACATTGTTTCTCCTTCTTGATGTGGTGATTCCACTTCTGGGACTCTCCATTACACTGATGCTCAGAATAGGCTCTAAGGAGTCCTAGAGGAAAAGAGTGTGGGTAAGGTTAATTTGGTGGGTAAAGTTAGGGTTTAGAGTTTTCCTTTGCATTGCTGTGTGTGTGTGTGTGTGTGTGTGTGTTAAATTAGACTCTCAATTAAATTTAGGTAAAAAGTTCACAAAAAGCTAAAATTTAGTTGAAGCTAGTGCTGTATGGATGTTTTCCTAAAGAGAAAAATGTAAATTATATGAAGATCTTAAAAATAGTTCAGTTTAAAAATAGGAGAAAATAAGGCAACTCCAAAAGCCAGAAAAGGGGGTGGTGGTAAACAGCAATAGTATTGCAAAGGAGCACCATAAAACTAGTCTATGACACAAAAATGCAAGTATGAGGTTTACTTAGGTACAAAAGAATATTAGATAAAGTGAAGAAAAAGTAGAATACAAAAAAGAGAATGAACACATGATACAATGACATAAAAATGTACTTATGTCTGTACACTGACAAAAATTGGAAGATAATTTAGAGAAATACAAACATAACTTAATGTTTTTTATCCCCTTTTTCTATAAAAATGATTTTTTTTTAAAATTTTTTTAAATTTTATTTATTCATGATAGGCACACAGTGAGAGAGAGAGAGAGAGAGAGAGAGAGAGGCAGAGACACAGGCAGAGGGAGAAGCAGGCTCCATGCACCGGGAGCCCGACGTGGGACTCGATCCCAGGTCTCTGGGATCATGCCCTAGGCCAAAGGCAGGCGCCAAACTGCTGCGCCACCTAGGGATCCCTATAAAAATGATTAAGGGCAATTTATTTACATATTCTGTAAAAATATTCTTTACATATACAGGAGAATATGGATTCTTTGGACCACTTTCTTAGATCAGTGATCCAATTAAAACTCAGTTTATTTATCTATTTTTAAAAAGATTTTATTTATTTATTTGAAATAGTGAGAGCGAATGTGAAAGAGAGAGAGCACGAGCAGGGAGGGAGAGGCAGAGGGAGAGGGAGAGGCAGGCTCTCCACTGAGTGAGGCTCCATCTCAGGACTTTGGGATCATGACCTGACCTGAAGGCAGACACTTAACTGACTGAGTCACCTAGGTACCCCAAAACTATCAATTTATTTATGAACAAGGACACTATACCTGTTTTCACAAATTTGTATAAAATTACTTAAAACCTCTGACTGCGTTGACTGAATTAGGTGGCATTGTAAACTAGGTTCTCCGGACATTTCCAAGCATATGTTTGTGTACTCAGATATATAAACTACAAGACGATGAATCTTTTCCATGTGGCAGTGTTTTAGCATTTCAAAGTCAACATCCAAAGAAATACACAGATGTATATGCAGCTGGAGAACAGTCTTTTTTTCCCCTACTCATTCTGGTAATGACATTTTAATTCTCAGTTTTTGTCCGGATTGAGTTATGGATTCTAGCATGGTTTTGATGAACCATGATGTTAAGGTCTCCAGAAGGGTCTACATGGTGAGAAATTAATCTGACATTTGAAAATGATGAAACACAGTGGGGGGAAAAACTCTGAAGATAAAATGATGAAAGTTCTGGTAAGAAGATAACAGAATAATGGTGGTAGGGGGTAAGGTATAGTCTGAAGACTTCATTTGCCGATCCAGGACAGTACCCTGCTGGAGAGGAAAGAATCAGGTCAGAGCTGCTGGCAGAGACTGCAAACTCTTCATGGAGAGTAGAGAAATGTTCATTCATTCACTTACTTTCTAGCTCTATGATGGCTAATTAACTTCTCTGTGCCTTGGTTTCCTCATTTGTAAATGGATAAAATGATTGCACCTGTATCACAGAATTGTGAGGACTAAATGGGATTGCACATGGCAGTTAGAACAGAGTCTGTTCTAACAAATGTTAGCTGTTGTTATTATTGGCAGAAATGGGGATCGTGGGACTTTGCTAAAGACTAGAAAATTCCATCATAAAGCTGAGAGCTCTCCAGATAATCTGGGTTACAGAAAATCTTACAGCCTGCTGAGTGGGTGCTACATTTCTACTTATTAGGGCATGTGCGAGATTTGTGGAACACAACAAAAGTGCTTAGCCAAATTGCTGAAGTCATGTTCACTGAGATGCAAAAGCTGGCTACAGGCTTATATAGCATCTAAACTTTTCTTTGATATGGTTTATGAGGGTGCTTGTTTGGTTTTGGTTTGGACCCCTGTGACTTGAAATAAAAATTAACCCAAAGCACAAGGATGGTCATTAGATCTGCTGATGGTGCTGTTGTCCTAAAACTGGAAAGGAGGGATGCAGGAGATGAGGTAAAGAGAATTGCTATCACTTCTTCCTTGACTTTGGATAGAAAGCAAAACAACATACAGAAATAAGCATCCGAAGATAAATCCTAAATGAAAATTAAAATAGAAAATACATTTTTTTGGCTGGCAGTTTAAATTTTACCTTGAAATTTCTGCCCACATACTATTCTTGGACAGTGAATTTGACAGTTGAGAAAGTCACAGCCAGCTCAGTGGTCGATGCCTCGGTTGAATGCAGTAAAGCAATTGTGTGATAACTGGATTGTCACTAGCATTTATTTCTTCTTGTGGTGCTCTTTATCCAAAGTCCTTTATCTGGCAGTGTTGAGACTCTCCTTAATATGATTTTCCTCACCTTTTTTTCTCAGAATTTCCAGCATTCTTCTTCCCATGCCCTATGCTCCAGCGACTCTTCAGAAATTATTTTTCCTCTTATATGTACTGAAATATTCTACCTATGTGCTTAAAATTGTTTTTTTTTTCATTGCCAGGAATACCCAGCCTTCTGCCTCATGTTGCGACATCCAGATATAAACAGTCCCACAGATGTCACTTCCTGCCTGGAGCCTTTCACATACCACCTCCTGATCCTCCCCCAGCTGAAAGGAATAGCTGCTCTCCTCAGAACTCCCTTGAGTGATTAAACCCAACTAGTTCTATGGGCATTGACCTCTTTCTTATGTGTCTTGAAATCTTTATGCTTGTGTACTCTCCCTCACTATTAATCTATCTGAGATTAAGATTCATACCTAATTTAATAATATTCCATGAATAAGTCTTCACCTAAATAGCACCTAAATTATACTTACTGTATTAGGGTGTAAAGTAAGAGAAATGAACATCGTATCATGTGTATAAATGCTCAGGCTCCTTTAAATCCCAGACACCTTTATGGTATACAAATGTCAAGAGCTACATAATAACACAGACTTTATGATGAAGAGGAAATGCATCCCTTATAGATTTTGTTAAGATACATAAGGACAAACTAATACTATATTTCAATTTAGATTTTCCCATTTTAGTTTTTCTTTATTCAGAAAGAGACTGGGATGTTGTATAGCATGCTTCATAATTTCTGTCTTAGTTTGTTGCATCATCTTGGATAATGGATAATTAGAGCTAAATATATTCAGTATAGAAAATCCAGTCACTTCTCCTCAGCTCTGCCTGTCTGAGCCACCACTGTCTTAAGGGGACACTGCACTCACCTCCCAGATTCCATCATTGTCCATTTATGCTTTATTCTTAGCATAGCAGCTAGAGCGATTTTTGCCTCAGTGAATCAGATCATGTCACTCTGCTCGGGTCCCTGCGGTAGCTCTTTGTTTCACTCTAGGTAAAGCCAAAGTTCTGCTCATGCTTTCAAGGCTCTTCATGATTTCACCGGTCCCATTTCCTCTTTGACCTAATTTCTTGCTACTCTCCCCATCCACGTCCTGGCTCTTTCCCTAACACACGATGCACATGCCTACTTAGATATTTGGAGCTGGTTATTCCTCTATTTTCAGATTCTTTACCCCAAATATGTGAATGATTTGCCTCCCTACTCCTTCAAGTCTTTTTTCAAAAGTCACCTTCTCATGAGGCCTTTCTTGACTAACTCATTTAAAATTTCAGGTACTGGGAAGCCTGGGTGGCTCAATGGTTTAGCCCACCTTCAGCCCAGGGCGTGACCCTGGAGACCCGGGATCAAGTCCCCTGTCAGGCTCCCGGCATGGAACCTGCTTCTCCCTCTGCTTCTCCCTCTGCCTGTGTCTCTGCCTCTCTCTCTCTCTGTGTCTCTCATGAATAAATAGATAAATAAAATCTTTTATTAAAAAAGATTGCAGGTACTGCCCGTCTTCTCCTTCTCAGCAGTCTGGATTCCCCTTTCCCCGTATTATTTTATTCCATAGCATATGTCACCTGTCACTTTTTCATACACTATATAATTTATTTAGTAGTATTTTATTGTTTCTTGTCTGTATGTCCCCCACTAATTCTAGTAAGCTCCATGAGAGCAGGGATCTTTTATATTCACTAATATATCTCAAATGTCTGTAGCTGTGCTTGATACACAGTAGGCCCTCTGCTGCATTCAGTGAAGAGAAGAGTGCTTGTAATGCTCCAGACATTGCTAATCACCATAACCCCCATTTTAATTTGAGAGGACTGAGGGTCGTAGGGTTAAAATGCCCAAGGTCACATAATTAGTCACGGAGCATAACTAGGATATGAATCAAGATGCGGTAACTTCGATTCTGTCCTAGCACATTTCATAGCTGGGCTGGGCCTCAGCCTCTTCCACATTTATTTTAATCAACATTATTATCATCCCTGCTTTTAAGACTCAAAAAGCCCTACAACATCAGTGGTGAAAAATACTGTTTCCTATTCCCTCACCCTCCCCTTCCGCTTCCCTAGAAGAAAACACTTCAGCTGAATCTTGGTTTTGATATTTTCCCTATATTTCTTTTTTTCTTTTTTAAGATTTATTTATCTGAGAGAGAGAGAGAGGGAGAGAAAGAGAGTGCGAGCACACACACTCACATGGAGGGGAGGACAGAGGAAGAAGGAGGGAATCTCAAGCAGACTCCCCACTGAGCAGGGAGACTGTTGCAGGGCAGGACCCTGATGGACACTTAACGGACTGAGCCTGCCAGGTGCCCGTCTCCCATATTTCTGAACAAAATGCTACTATTTCCATTCCTTAATTTCTATTCTCCAGTTTTGTGTGTTCTCTGTTGACTTTTCACATTCAAAGGTGATGATTTTAGCCCTCTTCCCTCCCCTTTCTACAACAGATACCCAGAACCACACACACACACACACACACACAAACACACACACATGCATGAGCGGGCGTGTGCGCACTCCCTGTTGGCATCCTTCTTTCCTACCCCCTGACCTCTCAATAGTTATATTACACTTTTGGTTAGATCAATAGAAAGGTTTGTATTATTTGTACTTTATTAGTAGGTGAATGATGTGCATATGTTATTTTTTCCCTTCACTGCGTAACTTTCTATTTACCCTGGAATTGTCTTTTGTCTTCTATCTATCTATCTATCTATCTATCTATCTATCTATCTATCATCTATCTATCTCTCACCTAAAGATTTTATTTACTTACTCAAGAGACGCACAGGGAGAGGCAGAGACAGAGGCAGAGGGAGAAGCAAGCTCCATGCAGGGAGCCCAATGCGGGACTCGATCCCAGGACCCTGGGGTCACACCCTGAGCCAAAAGCAGATGCTCAACCACTGAGCCACTCAGGTGCCCTTGGATTTGTCTTGTTTTAAATTTGCTTAGTTATTATCATACTTATCACTCTTGACACGTAAGGCCTTCACCATATTTCTAAAATTTTTTGAGTCCTTGAATATCTGACAATGCCTGTATTCTGTCCTGACACTTGAATGTTGGCTGCTTATAGAAATTTAGGGTGGAGATAATTTTCCTTCAGAGTTTTGAAGGCATCACTCCATTAATTTTTAGTTTTCAGTTTTTTTGTGTCATCCAAGGCTATTTTACTTTCTATGACTTTCCCCTCTTCTCTCTGGAATTGTGCTTGCTCTTCCCTTTATACCCAGAGCTCTGAAATTTCTCAGTGACATGCCTGGGTGTGGCTCTATTTTCATCCCTCCGGCTGAACACTCAGACCCATGTTCTTCAGTTCTAGGACATTCTCTTGAATTTTTAAACTGATTTCCTCCTATTTTCTTTATCCTTTTTCTTCAGAAAACTTGGTATTTAGGTTTTCAGAACCTTAGTAATCCAATTGTCTTTTTCCTTATATTTTCCTTCCTTTCTTTTTTCTTTCATTTTGTTCTGCTTTCTAAAAGACTTTCTCAACTTAACCAACTAATCTTTCTCATTATTCATTTATTTATTTATTTACTTCTATTTTTAAATGTATTGTCTAATCTTTTGATTGACTTTTTAATTCCCACTCTGGCCAGAACATGTATTCTTCTACTTATCTGGAAAGGAAATTTAGAATATTTTTCTAGAAATAGTAGACAGTTGGCTTCCTGAAGGAAGTGCTTGGATTTTAGCTCTAAGTGGACATGTAGTAGGTATACAATAAAACACAGGGAGAGAGTTGCCCACAAGAGCTAGGCCAAGGCAAAGTAAATGTAATTGGAACTATAAACCAGAGCAGGTCTACGAATAAGCTTACCTAGGAGGCATATCTACTTGAGATACTCAATTGGACCTTCTTCCATTTCTTCTGATTATTTATTATATTGGATCCATATTCTAGGGGAGGGTTCAACCTGGAAATAGGGCTAAGTGGCCTTAACTTTGAATAGAAAATGTTGTAGGTGCTGGGAGCCTGGAGGATTATTAGAATGTTAAATTTCTCTGAAGTGGACATAACCACTTCAGAATGTTCCTCGCTGCACCCTTCCCCCAAGTTTTAGAGGCAACGTCTGTAATATATTTTTTCCAGTTGCTTCAAGTTTTTCTCCCACTCCTTCTGTATTTCTTGTAAAATATAGCAGCTCACCAAAAGGATGGAGTTCAGCTGCCAATAAAATGTAACATGTCTGTAGACCCCAAGAAAGCAGCTAGTAAATATTTACATGTGCAACTGAATCTTCTAAGTGTCATATGCCCTTGATCTTTGCAGAATGCTACAACTTTTTGCTAAGAGTTTAGCATGCTATAGAGATGTGAGAGCAGGCAGATGTTTAATTCCTAAGAAGGAGCCTTGCTGCTGGGCCTCCTGCCAGTTATGGCTGACAGGTTATGTTTCAGCCCAGATTTCAGTCCCATGGCTCATTTTTTTTTTTTGGGGGGGGGTTGTTTTCTGTTTTTTTTTTTTTTTTCTTCTTCTGTGTTTTCTTTAAAGCTCTAGATATTTGAATTGGTTCTTTTCCTCCTAGGACTGGCTGCTGAGTAAGATGATATCTTCCCATCTCCCTCTTTACTTGTTGTCACCACAAATAAGTACTGAGGCTCTTTCTATTTAAGGGTTTTCCTGATGATTCCTTTTTGTGTTGGGGATCAACCTACCAAGCCAGCTGGTAATAAACTCAGTGGCTCATTTATCGTTACAAGATTAATAAGCACTATGTGGATTCATGTTTGCTAAGCAAATGAAAGCATTTATAAAATTCATAATTGTTGTGATATCTACAGATTTTCCCCAGAGGCTTCCTCCCATTATCTCTTTCATCTTTCCTTAAAATCTCTTTGACTTGGGCCCCATGAAAAATGGCTTGCTTCCCTGGTTTCTATCTTCTTGTCTTTTAGGTTTGTTGGTAACACTTTCTCTAGGGCAATGCTGCTGAGACTTGACCATGTAAAAGAATCACCTGAAGTTCTGGTAGAATTGTAGCTTCCTGGCCTCACCCCCACGGATCCAGATTTAGAAGATCTGGGATGATATTGATGCTATTGGGCCAAAGTCCACCCTTGGGGTTGCACTTGTCTAGACTGTTAAGAATCTTGGTTCCAATGTTGCATAGACTTATTCTCCTTCACCAGTTGTCTAAGCTACTGTTTGGGCTCAATCTTCCCAAAGTCCTGTGGCCCCAGTGCAGTCTGTTGTAGTACAACTTCCTCTCCAACAGTACAACCAGACCTTCAATTCCCTTAATGAAGGGAAGGGAAGAAAACTATATGTATGGGGGACATAATCTGTGCAGGCACTGAGCTAGGTACGGTTATGTATTTAC